TTGGGGCACATGGGTGGCATCTGGGTAGCACCGTCGGTGGAGTGTCTCACTGTTTTTGTTTTGGCTCAAGGCCTGATCTCAGCGTTATGGGATTGACCCCTGCATCAGGCTACAAACTCAGCATGGAGTCGGCTTGGGATTCTCTCTCTCCCTCTGACCCCATCACTCACTCTCTCTCTCTCTCTCTCAAATCAATCAATCAGTTAATCTTTAAGAAATCAACAGGAAGTATGTTCTCAGACCACAAATGACAAAACTAAACATCAAGTACTGAAAGATAGCTGGAGAATGACCAAAAAGTGGAGAGTACACAACACACTTCTAAGGAACACATGGGTTGCGGGTGGATGGATGGATGAAAGAGGTGAAGGGGATTAAGAGTACACTTACTGTGATGAGCACTGAGAAATGTATAGAGTTTCTGAATCATGTTGTACACCTGAAACTCATATTACACTGTTTGACAATTATGTTTGAACTTTAAAAAAAAAGAACATATGGATCACAGAAGGCACTGCAACACAAATTTAAATGTATTTCAATCTAGGTGATCATCAAAATTGATGTATTAGAGGGAAATTTATATTAATGAATGGATAGAAAAGGTCCAGTGACTATACAGTTTTCTGCTCATTTATGAAGAACAGTATATACAAGCTACTTTAGTATACTCACAGCGAGGATGGTTCTCCAGATATAAAGGAGAAACAGACAAATTCCCAAGGAGGCAGTGATAACTGGAAGTTTCCATAGAACGCCAACCCCATCAGGGCCAAGAGGGAAATAGTCAGGCACAACACGGACAAGCTGAAATAACACGTGAGACGATGAGGAATCTCAAAGATTTAAAATGTCTCTGTCCCAAACAATCAACTTTACAAACCCTCAACCAGCCTCCCCCAGGTAAGCACATCTCTTAACTGCCTCCCCATGAAGGAGAAGGAGCACAGAGGGATTACAAAGGAGCAAGGGCAAACTTTCTGGAGTGATGAGTGTGTTTACTACCTTACCGTGCTGATGGTTTCACTGTGTTTACCTATGTCACACACCAACAAACTGTCTTCTTTTTTTTTTAAGATTTTTTTTTATTTATTTGAGAGAGAGAGAAAAAAACAGCATGAGAAGGGAGAGGGTCAGAGGGAGAAGCAGGCTCCCTGCCGACCTGGGAGCCCGATGTGGGACTCGATCCCAGGACTCCGGGATCATGACCTGAGCCTAAGGCAGTCGCTTAACCAACTGAGCCACCCAGGCGCCCCCCAACAAACTGTATTCTGGAAAAAGATGTTGTGATCATATATACAATATATCACACCGAAGCTGTAGGAAAAATCTAATAGGCACATCTTAAGAGGTTTTATTTTGACTACAAACACGTGGCAAATACATCTTCTATAGCTAACAGAACTGAAGAATTTATAAGCCAACATAAAATAGACAAGTAAGTAAATGTAAACGTACAGTAGGTAAGAAGTCACTGACTTCTATTGTACATCCATGAAGGACCTGGATAAACTGCTCTGGAACGTTTCCAAAAACATGCCCCAAGTTTATGGAAGGATGAGAGGAAGGAAGAATAAAACATGTCCTAGACATATAAATGAGAATGTTCTATGGACGGAGATGTTTATAGATAAGGACATGAGTGAGAGCGAGACAGGAGCCTTCTCTTAGAATAATATGGGATTATTATTCCAACAAAAATCAAGTAGAATTATTGTTTCGTTTCTGAAAAGAGTGATGTTTTCTTTCAATGCCCACTTTGCTTCAGAATCACAGCCCAAACTGTCAGATATCAGGAGTCCATAAAGATTTTCATAATCTGGTGATCTTGTTTATTTGGATGATACCTGTGACATTTTCAGTTCCTTGAACACCTATTTCCAAACAGCCAGTGAAAGGCATTCATGCTCCTATTTCTTAGTATTGGAACTAAATCAGTCAATAGCAACTCTAAAATTTAATTTCTTAAAAGATTTTATTTACTTATGTGAAACACGACGCAGGGGAATGGGGAGAGGGAGACAGAGAAGAGTGCCGGCGGAGCACGGAGCCCAAGCAGGGCTCAATCCCAGGACTCTGGGATCATGACCCAAGGCTAAGGCAGAAGCTCAACTGACTGAGCCACCCAGGTGACCATGAAATTTCATTTCTAAAAGAATACAAAATCCCTGCATATGGACACCAAAACAAAGAACGCATCTCATTTTACAAAAACTGGAGTTCCAAGTATTGTAGGAGACAAGACGCTCACAATGCCATTCATACTAATTCACACGAATCTTGAATGTTGTGTAAACACAACTCTCTAGAAAGTAACCCTGAAATCGATAACATTTTCAACCTCAGCCCTCACAGCTGAGGTCAAAAACACGTGTGCTGGTGGGAAACATGCACGGTCCTTGATCAGCCGCTGTCTGAAAGAGGACATTACCTATCTGCACAATGGTTGATCATGGGAATCAAATGCCCAAAAGACAGAAGCCATCTTGTCACAAATGAAAAATGCCCCCAATCGTGGCCACTTGGTACATCTGGCAGCTGTGTGGATGCTGACCAGTAGCTGACTCTTAACTAGATGACATCCCATGGGGCCAAGAACACTAGGTTCTCACAGACAATGGCCATGAGCAGGGGGAGGAGGGAAATGCAAGACCAGTTAGTTTATGCAAGAGCTCAGAGATGAGGGAGGGTGAGAAAGCTGAACTGATCTATGAGATGCAGCCTAGGAAGACGGGAATATTTCCAATAAAGACTACCAAGAAATTCCCTCCTCTGAAGACTCAAAAGAAACAGAATTGAGTCTATTTTGACTGGAGGTATTCGTGTGGGATGAGTCGGCCTCAACACAAGGGTCCTTCCTGACTACTCCCACTTTGCAGATCCCTCTCTAAGAATCTGGTGCAGGCTGATCTAAAGAAGTCTGCTTATTTCTAGGGTGTTGCCTGTCTGTCTCTCGCTCCTGGGGCTAAGGGTTTTACTTTTTCAGGAGTGAAATAGTCACACTAGGAACCAGGTATTTCTTTTATCTTTGGACATTCCTAAGGACATTCAGGAGCTTTTTACTTTGGGGAAATCAATACTCTGTACATACTGGGCTAAAGAAAGGATAACAACTCATTCACTTCCTGATCACATCACTCCATCAGATTCTCCTGTGACAAAAGTCCCAGCAAGATGCGGTCACTTAGTGTCCGCTGGGCTTCTCGGGGCTCCCACGGACCTGGTGGGACACAGAGTCCCCGGGGACAGCCTCCAAGGCCAGAAGGAAAGAGCTGACTCAGAAGTTGTTCAAAGTCAACCAACCAGGAAGCACAGAGCACAAACGACATTTCACTTGTTAACACTCGAGTCCCGACACCAAGGTGTAAGATGCCACTGTTCCCAGGGCTGCCAAGCTTCATAAATATGAACAATGTGCTGACAGGAAAACAAACGACATGGAAGATGGACCCTAAACCTGCAAGGCTTGAGGCAGGATCTTCACTGGGCTTCCGGTTGCCAGTCTAATACCCACAGGTCCTATGGAGTTCCTGACTATTTTAAAGACCTATCACGCAAACGCCTTATTGAAGACAAAGTACTCAACGCCTTTTTGTATCTTCTCAAATTCTTCCTTCTTGACACCACAAACCTAGTATGCTCAGGTTTCCATCCTGCCAAAGCTGCTCTCTTTGGACCAAGCAGCACAGACAGGACCCAGAACTTGATGTGGACGGCTGTGGCCACAAACCCTTCAGGCTGACCGAGAAACCTGCCCTGTGGTGCTCGCTCTTCAGGAAGAATTGCAGTCCTTCTGGAGTGCCCACCAAGAACCCCCTGAAAAAGCTATTATTTCACCAGCATGTGAAAGAACCCAGTAGGAAGGAAGACATCACCAGCAGCTTTGAGTCACCGGGTGGCTCAGTCAGTTAAGTAACGATGTCTTGCTTTGGATCAAGTCATGATCCATGGTCCTGAGGATGAGCCCCTCTTCAGGCTCTGGACTCACTGCGCAGCTGCCTTGGCGTTTTCTCTCTCTCCCTCCCCCTCTTCCCTTCCCCCCACACCTGTGCCCTCTCTCTTTCAATGGGAGACACCCGTGAAGTGCCACGTTTACTCACATTTGGGTTTGGGGAACTGGGACACCGGAGCAAGAGCAGCCAGAACAACAGCCTCTGAACCTTCATGTCTTGGTCAAGGGGCGCTGGGGTGACGGGGAGGAGGTGGAGATGGGGGTGGAGTGGAGGGAGGGGTGGGTGGGTAGGGAGGGGTGGGAAGGGGACAGGGTTTTAAGGAGGGATGGGAGCAGGGTAGAAATAGAGGGTGGGATTGGGGAAGGCGTTTGTCAGGAGAAGAAGGGGTCAAGGACAGTGTCAGGGTCAGATTAGGTACTCGAGGGGAGGTTCAGAAAGGGGAGTAGGTCAGCAGGTGAGTAAATCACTAGGTCAGGAAATCACTAGGTCAGCACAAAACAGTAGCAGGTTAAGGGATTGGAGGAGGATCCACCGATCTCCAAGCCTTCCCCTGGTTGAAGCATTCCTTAGCAACCCAGAGGCTTTATACTCTCTCAACCAATCAGCTGCCTTTGCCCCTGGTAGATCATAATGGACACCCCGCGTGACCTCATATTTAAATAGCCTCTTCCCACCTGCTGCCCCACCACCGTGCCATCCCAATAACAGGTCCTCTCTGGAACTGTGGCCGTCCTTCTTGTTTCTGCTCCCTCCCAACCCAAGTGCCTGTTCCCCTCTTCTGGGCACGCTCTCCTTGCTTCCAGAACTCCTGTCCTACAGCCACTGGCTGAACAACATAGAAAGCAAAGCAGGACAGAACTGCAACAACGAGCAAATACACAAGCAGAGTGGGAGGTTTCAACCCTCTCTCACTGACTCAAAGCAGACGGAATACCCATAACATGTAGACCTTGATAGCAAATCATCTGAATCCCACAGCTATATCCGTAGGTCTGTCCACAACCATATGCCACAGTGGAGGACACATTAACGTTAGTCATATAGGATACACTTACAAAAATGCACCCGATTTATTTTGGCCAAAAGGGAAATTTCAGCATGTTTCAGAGGCATGAAATCACACAGAGCATGTTGTGGTAATATAATGGGCTAGAAATCATGGATAAAAACTAACTAGAAATTCCCATGTGTTTAGAAATTGAGAAGTACCTCGGGCCACCTGGGTGGTTCAGTCCTTAAGCGTCTGCCTTTGGCTCGGGTCATGATCCCAGGGTGGTGGGATCGAGCCCCACATCGGGCTCCCCGCTCTGCAGAAAGCCTGCTTTTCCCTCTCCCACTCCCCCTGCTTGTGTTCCCGCTCTCGCTGTGTTTCTCTCTGTCAAATAAATATATCTTAAAAACAATTGATTTTTGAAGTACCTCTAAAATGAAATAGGAGTAAAGAAATCCAAAAGAAAATGCGCTATATTGGAACTGAATGATATGAGCATGATAAAAATGTAATCAAAAATGTCTTTGGCTGGGAATATCCTGGAATCTTGGTGTGAGAAGACTGCATGGTCTGAAAATCAAACCTAATAGACCGAGACGTACAAATCTTACCTGGTTGAGGATAAAGCAAACCCATCCTGACTTAGTCCTGCTGTCATTTCTTACCCATGCCCCCAGACTCCTCCTCTGCCCCTGCACAGTCCCCCAGATGGGCTGGCACCATGCGGTGGCCCCAGTAGGCTCCACGAAGGCATGTCAGAGTGTCCCCTGACCCGGGAAGTTTGATACAGCCCTCTGACGTGCTCTGACCAGTGAGGTGTGAGTGAGAGTGAGGCGTGCCATCTCGAACAGAACACTTAGCACAACTGGGTCTGGCACCCCCTCTGTCCATCTCCTCTAGCACCTGGCTGTTACCAATGGTGGGTGCTCTTTTATCCTGCTCCCAGAAAGACCATGCGGACATGTGGCAGGAGCAAACTAAGATACTTCCCTAGTAGGAGCCACTAAGACGAGGGGCGTCTAGTTACTCACAGTAACATTAGCCCATCCTAACTGGCATGCATCCTCCAGTCTACTCTCTAGCAGGCAGCAGAGCCTTACGTGCGAAGCATGGACTCTGTCCTCAGATACACGTGGGTTTGAGTTCAGCTCTGCCCTTTTCTTCACTCCAACCTCAGGCAAGTTGCTGTGAGTCTCTGAGCCTCCCCTGTTTCCATTCTGTCATATGGATGGTTATACCATCTCAGGTTTGGGGAGGGATTAAATGAAATCATAACTCATGGAAAGCTTTGAGTCCCGCACCAGGCACACAAAGTAAATAGTCAATAAATATTAGCTCTCTACCTTTATGTCTCAAAGGGAAACACACAGAAAGCACAGCACTGTAATTGTACAAAATAAAGACACGTTAACCTTGGGGCCTGTGTAGCGCCTCAAACTTTGTTTTTCAACAAACAGCATGATATTTACACTCATTCACAGCCTTTTCCCTCTCAACAAGACACTGTACTCTTTTTAGGTTACAAATAAATATCTGCATCATGTTTTAAGATATATAATACTAAA